CCCCTTCCTTTTAATCCTTCTTCACAGTTGTGGTCATCTGGGAATTTTAGCTCACGGGTGTTTGAGGATTTTCTTAACACAAACTGTATGTGGTTTACTCATTAGAATATGAGTGCCAGTCCTAATGAGGTCCACACCTGAGAATTTTCACTTTGCATGTCACAAGTAGAGCATGACTGAGGGTGCTGCTAAGGAATCACAACAGTAAGTACAGGTTAGGATCACACATTTCCCTTTCCTCTGAAAAGAAAAGAATTTAATTAGACTATTCTGTTCCTTAGAAAAAGGTGAATGGAATGCAAATTGCAAGGAAATAACAATGGCTGTTGTAAAAAGGCTGATGTCCTGAGCCAAAAGGGCATTTTCATGGACTGGTATTGGCTCTATCCTTTGCTTACTGTCACCCACTTCCAACTTTCACAAATGCACCACTGTGCAGAGTTAAAACACTGTAATGAAAAAGGTACAAGTAAATAAATGGCAGCCAGCATTTTCAATTAATATACACAGTGACAGCAACCTTCAGTAAACAAAGACCATGTCCACACTAATAAGAGCAGAGCTTCATGCATCTACTTTAGCAAGATCTCAAAAGTGTTGGGGGAAACAGACTGTTCAGATCTTCACACTTCATACAGACTGTATTATTTATGCAGCACTGTTAAATATAATCAAAATGTGTTCTTAGTTCTAGGCCTAATATAGGCCTACTTTGGGTTTAGGGCAAAAAACATCCAACCAAAAAGCTTAAACAATGCCGTCACAATAATACTAAATATAATTATATGAATTATATTATTTGAAGATAATTTAAAAAAAGATTTGATGGTTAAAAAGTAGATAAACCCTTTTGTAAATACAACTGTGCACATGACTTGACCCTCTACATGTGTATATCAGCATGTGCAATATTTGGATCATAGGCTATTTAGATCATTGTTAATTCTTCATTCTGAAATCCCTGGTTAAAACATTGAAATAAAAAGAATTCCTTTAACATTCACAATAGAAAACAAAGTGATCAAAAACAAGGTCAAATTTTGTGTGACAGCTCATACTGACCAGCACTATTATTGTCCCTTGAATTGTGTGAGAGGATCTGTGCTCAGTGCAGCATGAGGCAGCTGGGAAAAATCAGGGGCTTGTGGTTTTGTCACAACAATGGCATCAAAAAGTGCACTGGAAATTTGCTGGTGACTGTGGTGGCCATGCCATTGTCATAGTAGAGATAACAGCACAGAGGCACAGAGCTGGGCCGCATTGTTTAAAGGAAGACCCCCTACCCTACCCCCGCCAAATGCACCACTGTTTTGTCTTTCTTTACAGCAGTGTGATGAGCTGGTGTCCCAGCCACGCTTCATGCTTGGTCTTGTTCCTGTTTTGTACAAGCTCAAGACTACTAGTTGTAGTAGTTTGAAACTACCTAACAACTACTAAACTGACTAGTTCAATCTCCAAACAACAGTATGTATTTTTCTCTTAACCCTGACATTGTAAACTGTAAACTGGAAATGCAGTATGCAATAAGTTGTTAGCTTGAAGTCAGGTTGGTTACAATGACTTCCACTAGTGACCAGTTTTCAAAGCAACTTCTTAAACCACCTATCCAGAATAAACCATATCACTTTCCTTAAATCTGTGCTTAGTATGCTACACCTAACACTCATATATTTGCCAAATTCTGCTGGTTTAAGTAGTGATTCAACTCTATCACAATGTAGTAGCTCAAGCGTTTGCCTTATAAATGAATGGCACCTCTTAAATTGTTGTGTGGGGAAGGTCCCATTTTGCATAGCAAAGCTCACTGTGTGTCTGGTGCAGGGAAAGACCAATCTAATCCAAATCTTCAGGTGGCCTGACAGAGGTTACAGCCTTTGCTCCCCCTGCTGATAACAACAAGCAATCATCTGACCTGTCTGGACATGCAATCTGCTCGACATGAGCCAAGCCTCCACAGCCCAGCGTTCTCTATCAGCATCTGCACTCTTCTTTAGAAGGAGGGGGTGACAGATCTACACCCACATCAGCAGACGATTTTCAGACTCTCTTTCAGATGTGTATCCATCTACATCATTCCAGAAATGTGACGAACTGTTCGCTGTGCTGACTCAGTCATCATCCCAAGTCCTCCAAATGGAAATGACCACTTTTTGTCCTTTCCACAGGGAAACCTGGACTAAACTGCACTCATCAAGAGATTAATACACAAGTCTCTTCAATCACGCAAGCACAAGGTCAGAAATCATTAAATACTCACTGTAACAGAATCCGCTAGCATTGCTGAGCTGCATGCAACCTGATCTCCGACAGGTGGGACCGTTTGGTCAGGACTGCATCTCCAAACACTAATTTCCCCCTCTGTCCAAACAAAAGCTGCATTGCTTGGTGCCTGTGCATCTTTCCCATGCCTTGTTTGGAGATAGAGGGGCCCCAGACATCACACAGACAGTAAACTGCTACCTGCTCTCAGCTCATTAGTCAACCACACTCTGTGAGGTCTGGGCTTCATGGTCAGGCTAATTCTTTGACACTTCAATACATGTTTGGGTGACTTTACAGCAGATGCACAACAAGACTGCATTATTTAATCAACACAGTCCATCAAGTATGCAGGATGTGTGGAAACACAAAAGAAATATATGAAATATAAGCCACTACACTAACTCCTGTTCAAAGATTCCAGTTCAAACCACAGTTTTAGAGCGCTAAGAATCCGATCTACTTTTATGTTCTTTTTTTTTTCCATCTGGAGTCAAATTCTTGTGTTTAAACATATATGGCAAATAAAGATGATTCTTATCTTAACAATATTAAAATACTATAATTAGAGCAATTGTTTTGTCTAACAAATGGTCCACAACCCCGAAATATTGAATTTACTATCATATAACAAAAGAAAAGCCACACATTGTGATATTTGAGAAGCCTGAACCTAATCAGGCTTCTACTAATCATGCCAACTCTGCCCATATTGTTGCACTGCTACCAGACAGTAAGAAAGGCCAGTATTGTTAGCGAGTTTCATTCCATTTGCGCCCATACATGTACATCTGTGGATGACTTCACCTTAAGAACCTCTTGCAAATCCTCACCTACCTTCTTTAAGATGTGTGAATCAAAGGACTATGTTGGGACAGACATAATTGTGTTTTTGTTGCGTTTCTTAATTCAAAGCCGAGCAAACATACCATTAGCTGACCGGTATACCGCAAAATAACTACGGCGCGACTCACAAAACAGCCTGCGCAGACCTGATCCACA